TTTGGACTTGATGTGATGCAGTATGGATGTCATGGATAATTCAGACCGATGGGGAGAAACAGAATAAAAAACACTGTTTAAACACCTTCCGTCCCCCCTGTGATGTTCCACCCCATAATGCTTTATAGAAATATGCTTATGAGTGTAAATATGACATAACTGGAATGTGGTTTGTGCTGGAAATGCCATGTAACCTATCTCTGCAAAGGCTATGAACTACTGGATATGTTCATCCTATTTGTATGCATGTGTCATTTTTGTGTTCGAAGTTATGAATATTGGCTGTGTACTTGTTTGATTTTAAGTCGCCTCAGTGACGCAGTTGGTCAGCTGCTTGAGAAAAGACTATTCTCAGTAAATGCCCAGTCAAGAAACACTTCACTGACAATGGACCTTGAGAGACACCAATCCACATCTGGGCTTTCCTGGGGACATTCAAACTAACTTGTAAAAAATGGCATCAGCCTGCAAACTGAGTCATGCACGGACATGTGACTTGCCCATGTGAGTCCAAAACTCCATCTTGTAGCTGTGATTCTGCATAGGAAAACACAAGGGGTTTCAACCCACAAAAGAGACTATATAGGGCCCTGGGAAACCCCTCCATTTGGTCTTCAGCTGGCTCCAAAGATAGCCTCTCCACCCCAAAGAGATGCCTGAAAGAAACTGGAACAAAGGACAGTAACTACAGGGGTGGGAGTGATCGCTGGACCCAGACTAGGACGAAGTCTAGTCTGTAAAAGAAGCTTATTGGAACATCTCTGAGGGTGAGTTTTACCTGCATTTAGTTTCTAACTGTATTAGGCTTAGACTTGCGTGTTTTATTTTATTTCGCTTGGTAATTTACTTCATTCTGTCTGTCATTTCTTGGAACAACTTAAAACCTACTTTTTATATTTAGTAAAATCACTTTTTCCTTATTAATTAACCCTGAGCAAGCAATTAATTCCTGGGGGAGCAAACAGCTGTGCTCTATCAGTGTTATAGAGGGCGAAAAATTTGAGTTTACCCTGTATAAGCTTCATACAGAGTAAAATGGATTTATTTGGGGTTTGGATCCCACTGGGAGCTGGGTATCTGGGTGCTGGAGACAGGAGCACTTCTTAAGCTGTTTTCAGTTAAGCCTGCAGCTTGTGTGGGACGTGGTTCAGACCTGGGTCTGTGTTTGTAGCAGGCGAATGTCTCTGGCACAACCAGGCAAGGCACTGAAGTCCCAGGCTGCCAGGGAAACCGAGCTCAGAGGTAGTCCCAGCACATCAGGTGACAGTTCCCAACCCAACACCCTCCCCACTCCACCCCTCCCCTCTTGAGGACTCCTGGCCAAACAGCACAATACATATGCTAACAAACTTAAACCAAGCCTTTGTTTAAGTTTGTTAGTATATGTATTGTGCAGTTAAAGCCATTTAAAGAATGAATGCTCTCCCTAGCCGTGTTCTGCTCCTTCAAGGAGCAGAGTGCAGTCCCACCGCCACCTCCAAGTCTTTCCAGTACCCCGTATCCACTAAAAATCTCTTCCCGGTACTACGTATGGGAGGCGTAGTGGGGAGGCTGCCTCACTCCAGTAGGCAGGGGTTAAAAGCAGCCCTGGAGAGGGCTGCGGCTAGGAAAAGCGGTGAGAGTCTCACTCCAGCCGTGGAGAGAGAAGGACCTGGCTGCCTGGGAGCTCAGGGGGCCGGGAGCAGAGCAGGGCTGGGGGAAGGCCAGAGGAGCTGGGGAGCTCCAGCTTGGTAAACCCCCAGGCTGAGGCCTTGCTAAAGGCCTAAGCAGGGACTGGGGCTGGGAGGGGCAGCCCGGGGATAGGCAGAGGCAGCTGGCCAGAGGCAGCCCGGGGATAGGCAGAGGCAGCTGACCCCTTGCCAGTGATGAGTGGCCATTACAGACTGCGTCTGCCGCAGTGACTGGGAGCAAGATGACGACTGGCTGTAGCCACTGAGGCAAGGTGGGTTAGAGGGTTGGGAGTTCCCCTGGGAGGGGAAACCCAGCATGTGGGGGTGCTGCTGGGGCAGAACCCTGAGGTAAAGGGGCTCCGGGGTCCGGGAGGGACATGGGGGCTTCAGGCAGGTGAGCCACTGGCCAGCAGAGGGCGCTCCAAGGCTGGAATCGAGCTAATTCCCAGGACGACCAGCAGGAGGTGCCGCACCGGTGAGCCGCCGATCTGCCCTACTTGCGCTCCTGCTGGTGATGGAGAACGCACACCCTGTGGGAACGAGCCGCAGCAGGCCGTGCCTGGCCCCAACATCCCCACCCCTGCCCCTCCAGAGAGCTCTGTGCCCCAGCTTTCTCTCACAGCTCCTGCCTCCAACACACAGCAATCGATCGCCTAGCCCCAGGGCAGCCCGCCAGCCCACGCAGCTCCGCTCAGAGCTGCATGCAGCCTAGGGCCTTGGGCAGTAGCTCCCCAGCTGATTTTACTACATAGCCAGGCTTGATTGCTCATTCTGTTGGGTCTGAAGGTGGGGGGCGGGTACCCAAAGGCTTTGTAGAGGTCTGGGATGATGCCATCAGCCCCTCTCCTGTTCTTCGGCCTGTGTTCTCCAGGAGGCCTAGGCTGTGTCTACATTGGCACAGATGCAGCAGTTCTCCTGGGGCTGGGGTGAATCCACCTCTCCGAGGCAGCAGCTAGGACGATGGATGACTTCTCCCCTCAGCCTGGCCCTGTCCATGCTGGGACTTAGGTCGGCGTAACGCATGAGTGATGCAGTGAAACTGACCTGACTTCTTGGTGTAGACCGGCCCTAGTCCTGGGTCTCTCCTGGCCTTAACAGCTGTGGCTGAGGCTAGTTCTGAGGGCAGCAGCCGCTCAGCTCCTCCTTGCTTGGCTCGAGCCTATCTCAGTCTGTGTGTGCCAGGACGGGCCCGGTCAATTCCAGGTACCCGGCTCCAGGCTGATAATCTCCGTGGAGATGTGGCGGTTTGCTTTGGCGCTCCAGCCGATGTTTGCGGTGGAGGAAGAAAAGTCCTCAAGAGCTTCCTCTTCTGCCGACCCGATCCTGTCCCCGCCCCGGAAAGAGTGGCAGGAACCTTGGCTTTGCACTGGTGCCAAGAGGGTGTTATCATGGCTCACAAGCAGCAAAAGAAAAGGAGAGGGAGCAGGACTCCTGGGTTCTCTTCCCAGCTTTGGGGCGGGGGAGGCTAGTGGTTAGAGCAGGGGGCTGGGAGCCAGGACTCCTGGGTTCTCTCCCTGCCCTGGGAGGGGAGTGGTATCTAGTGGTTAGAGGAGTGCGGCTGGGAGTCAGGACTTCTGGGTTTTATTCTCAGCTTTGGGGAGGAGGGGTCTAGTGGTTAGAGCAGTGTCTTTCAGGAGGTTATTTTGCATTTTAAAACCTGGGGTGGGGGGAGGTTCTTACAGCTTCAGCTGGGTGGTGGAAGCCCAGGGTTGTCTTTTTGTGCTGGTAACAGGAATTGTCCGGGCTGCTCCGAGTCCAGCGGGGTTGGGGGTGCCCAAAGGCAATGTGCAGTCGGGTGTGGGGGGGTGTTGCTCCTTCGGGCACCAAGCAGTTCCAGCCCCAGCTTCTTCGATCATGGGAGTGACTCGTTTCCCTGACTCCCTGAGCCCTTCCATCCCAACGGGGGTGAGAGCTGGCAGCATGTCAAGCCCCCGCCCCGCTGCGCTACAGGCCCTGGCTTGCACTGCTGAAATTAGCTTGGGATTAGGAAAGGAGGCCCAAGGTCTTCACGAGAATGCAGGCTCACGACTTGCCTGTCAGGATCGTTGCTCCTTCCCACAGGAGACAGCTGCAGTGACTCATATGGCAGAGGCAGAGCCAGGGAGAGAACCCAGGAGTCCTGGCTCCCAGCCCCCCCCCGCTCTAACCACCAGACCCCCCTCTCCTCTCAGAGCTGGGGACAGAACCCAGGAGTCCTGGCTCCCAGCCCCCCTTCCCTAACCACTAGACTCTGTTCCCCTCCCCAAGCTGGGGGGAGAACCCAGGAGTCCTGGCTCCCAGCCCCCCCCCCCCCCGCTCAGACCCACCAGACCCCACTGCACTCTCAGAGACAGGGAAAGAACCCAGGAGTCCTGGCTCCATTGCTCTGACCCCAAAGCCCCTGTAACAACGTGGACATTTTCTGTAATATTTTCGTGCCTGAGCGGCCAGGCCCCGGCACCGCGACCCTCGAGAAAAGGAGGCTTAAACAGCTGCTCCGGGTGCTGAGCAAGAGACCGGGGGGTCATGTAACGGGCCGGCAGCACGTGGGACCTGGGCCGGGCTCCGCAGGGCCAGGACGATGGCCTGGGAGGTGTCAGGAGGCCGGGGATGAGGACGGGCCCGCAGAGGGGCTCAGCAGCTCTCACCGGGACTGACAGAGCCGGAGATCCAGCCCAGACGGACCCCACGGCGGCTTGGCCGGGCGGAGCCCTGGCTCGGCTGCACGGACCATGTGTCTGATCCTTCGCTGCTCTGCGCCAACCTGGGGCCTTCCCGGGCCGGGGGCTAACGAGCCCATTGCTGCTTGGGGGCCGCGGCTGGGGTTCGCTGCCAGTCCTGGCTGAGCCGCGCTGGTCCCGGCAGAGGGGCCAGGTCTGTGCCCAGGCGTCTGGCTCAGCCAGACCCGCCGGGCAGAGCTCACGGGGGGCAGCAGGAGGGCTGGGGCCCAGAGACTCAGCCTTGGAGGCCGTGGGGCCGCGTGGTCAGGCCTGCAGGAAGAGGGGGTCCCCTGGGGGCTCTGGCACGCCGAGGGGCTCCTGCCAGGGACGGCTGGAAGACGGCGCGTAGCTCTGAGCCAGGGATCCATGTATGCGTAGCCAGAGCCGCTCTCCGGCAGCCTCGGCTGGGGGCCGGCTGTGACGAAGTGGGACTGTTCTTAATGTTTCCTCTGAATAGTGTGGGGGTGCCTCAGTTTCCCCTAGGCAGTTCTTAAGTATCTAGGTGGTGGGGTAAGGGTGTATGATCATTGCAGTGCCCTAGAGGGCATGTGTGTGCAGGAGTCTGGACACAGAGAATGGCCGACACCCTGTTTCCTGGCAACTGATGGCCTGGGCCCTTCCCCCCTGCAAGGTGAGAGCTGAAGGGTTGGAGAACAAAGGAATCAGGTGACCTCCTGGCCCGGGAAAGGAACAAAGCCCAGAGGAGGAGGGGCTGGAGGGGTTTTTTCAGTTTGGGGCTGGCTGGGACATGGAGTGAAGTGCAGACGTGGTTGTCTGGCTCACTGCCCCCCAGAATGGACCCAGCTGAGGGGTCCCGTTCTCTGCACCTGCAAGCTCTGTTTTAGACCATGTTCCTGTCGTCTAATAAACCTTCTGTTTTACTGGCTGGCTGAGAGTCACGTCTGACTGCGAAGTTGGGGTGCAGGACCCTCTGGCTTCCCCAGGAGCACCGCCTGAGCGGACTCGCTGTGGGAAGCGCACGGAGAGGCAGAGGATGCTGAATGCTCCGAGGTCAGACCCAGGAAGGTGGAAGCTGTGTGAGCTGTGTGTCCTGAAGACAGGCTGCTCACAGAAAGGCGACTACCCCAGAGTCCTGACTGACTTCATGGGGAGCAGTTCCAGAGCATCGCCCAGGAACTCCGTGACAACTGGTGGCAGCGGTGGGATCTACTGCACCCCGTGGATGGCGCTTCCTGCAGTAAGTGACTGGGGAGCAGTAACACGAAGGGGGATTGCCGAGGACCAGGCCTGCTGAAGGCTCAGAGAGGAGCGGTTTCGGGGGCGGTTAACCCCTGGGAGTGTGTGACCAGCAGAAGTACTGTGCAGTAATGGGGTCCCCCTGGGGACTGCAGTGAGCAGTCTCAGGGGCGGAGGAGTCTGCAGCTCGACCCTGGCAAAGAGGTGGTGACCTTGAGAAGGGCTGGCACACTAGGGGTTCTCCCTGGAAACCGTGGGGAGCTGAGAACACACGGGCCTGTGAGTCCACAACAACTTGGGAGGAGCGGAGTGATGGCCTGTCACCGTCTCCTTAAGAAGGACATTGTAACCCTGTGCAAAAAGAGAGGGTTGAGCATTGGAAAGTTCACCAAAGCAGAGTTAATCGTGCAGCTGGAGGAGGATGACCGCTCTAAGGAACAGATTCCTGACCCCAACTGGGGCTATAGCAGGATCTGGGAGCAGCTGAAGCGGGAGCCAGGCATCGCCAAGACTCCTGTCCCCGACCAGACGAGGGTCTTCATGATCGGGTTCCCCATCGGGGGATCAAGACGGACGGGATTGCAGCTGAGTCTGAGAGAGCAAGAGGACCGTGGGAGACAGCGAGAGCCCGAGAAAGAGCTGCAGAAGCAGCAGCAGCATGAACTGGCGGTGGTGGGGCGGAGAGGCCTAGGGGACCTCCCCGGGGTGAGTGGGGATAGATCCCGGGGGCCAGTTCCGCAGGGAACCTCGAGACTAAATTGCTGCCCCTGGTTAAGGAGGGGGGGGGTGTGGATGCCCACCTCACTGCCTTTGAGCAGGCTGGCGATTTGAACCAAGGGGACCCTGCGGAAAAGCCCCGGTGTCTAGCTCCCTTGCTGGGTCCCAAGGCCATAGACTCCGTCAGCCAGATGGTTGGGGATGTGGACAGGCTCCCACTCCTGACCCCAACCTATATGTCTGTGTGGAGTTTCCTGGGGCCAGGCCCCCGGACCTCCAGTGGGAGTAGAAGGTGATGGTCAATGGGGAGACATTCTTGGGGTGGCCAAAGGGCATGGGCTGCATAAACCTTCCCACATGCGGCCTGCGAGTGCTATCGACCACCCCTGATCTAAGGGAGGGCGTGAAACTGGAAGGGCCTGGTGTAACTCCTACCAAGGAATGGGAGAGATGCTGGGGCATCCATGGGAACGTTGGTGGCTTCGAACTTCCCCAGGTCACCGGCTAAAGTGACCCCGCTCAGTTCGATCTCGAAGGGGGGAGAGATGTGACGAAGTGGGACTGTTCTTAATGTTTCCTCTGAATAGTGTGGGGGTGCCTCAGTTTCCCCTAGGCAGTTCTTAAGTATCTAGGTGGTGGGGTAAGGGTGTATGATCATTGCAGTGCCCTAGAGGGCATGTGTGTGCAGGAGTCTGGACACAGAGAATGGCCGACACCCTGTTTCCTGGCAACTGATGGCCTGGGCCCTTCCCCCCTGCAAGGTGAGAGCTGAAGGGTTGGAGAACAAAGGAATCAGGTGACCTCCTGGCCCGGGAAAGGAACAAAGCCCAGAGGAGGAGGGGCTGGAGGGGTTTTTTCAGTTTGGGGCTGGCTGGGACATGGAGTGAAGTGCAGACGTGGTTGTCTGGCTCACTGCCCCCCAGAATGGACCCAGCTGAGGGGTCCCGTTCTCTGCACCTGCAAGCTCTGTTTTAGACCATGTTCCTGTCGTCTAATAAACCTTCTGTTTTACTGGCTGGCTGAGAGTCACGTCTGACTGCGAAGTTGGGGTGCAGGACCCTCTGGCTTCCCCAGGAGCACCGCCTGAGCGGACTCGCTGTGGGAAGCGCACGGAGAGGCAGAGGATGCTGAATGCTCCGAGGTCAGACCCAGGAAGGTGGAAGCTGTGTGAGCTGTGTGTCCTGAAGACAGGCTGCTCACAGAAAGGCGACTACCCCAGAGTCCTGACTGACTTCATGGGGAGCAGTTCCAGAGCATCGCCCAGGAACTCCGTGACACCGGCACCTTCCCCCTGCAGCTTGGGCTTTCTCCCCACCCTGCTTTCCCTCCCCCATGCGGCGCCCGCCACCAGAAACCCCCAGAGCTGCTGACTTCCTCTCTGGCGGCGTGGGAAGCTGTGTGGGGAGCTGTGCGCAGCAGCCTCTGGACTTTCCCAGCACCAGCCCACCCCGGAGAAAGTGCTGCGGCCATTGGCGAGGCCTCCCGCCCCCGAGCGCTGGGAGGAGCTGGGTGCTCCGTGCTGGTCAGTGGCCCAGGCTGGGGCTCGGAGGAAATGGACCTTGCAGGAGTCCAAGCAGCGGCTCTATCCGCTGCATTCCTGGCGGGCCCACGGGAAGCCGGCTTTGTGCGGGCGAGCGCGAGGACTAGGGCATGTGGAAGCCGCAGGGAGAGGCGGAGCGAAGCGAGCCCAGAGAAATGCCAGCTCCGGGCAGCACCTCGACTAAAGGCAGCTGTGAGCAAAGCTCCCCGGTCCCTGCCTTGTTACTCCCCCGCCCCGGCACAGAGGGAGCCGTGGAATAATCCCCCATGCCCGGCAGGATCCCTGTCCCCATTCCGGAGCTTCCTGACGAAGCAACAGCTGGGAAAATCTGCAGCGGGGAGCCGAGCCTCGAGCCAGTGAAAGGGCGAAGGGCTTGTGCTGAGGGCCTGGAAGGAACAAACTCCCAGGCCCCCGTGCACAGGCTCTTGTGCAGAGCAACAAGGATGCCGTGTGTTGCAGCCATCCGGAGCTGCTGGCTTCAGGCGCCGGGAATGTTGGTGTCTGTTTCTGCACGGCCGAGCCAGCTGGAATTGCAAAAGCAAACAGCCCTCTGCACCGCACATCTGCACCGCACATCTGCTCCTACACGCTTACCAATGTGCACACCTCCACCCAAACGCACGTATGGCCCAATACCCACCTTCGCACAAACACACTCACCAGCACAGCTGCTTTCACGCTTACCAGGGGCGCCGTTTCAGATTCTGGTGGGGAGGGGCAGCTTTGCCCGTAGGCACTTGAAAAAACTAGTGTTCTGGCAGAGAACTTAGCTGACAGGAGCCCTGGATCTAATTCCTATAGAAAAGAACAAAGAGTCAATAAATATTAGACCCATTCAGCCTTAACACTAACATGTTCTGACACCTCGTGGCAAGTCACCTAAGGGACACTGGTTAGGTTTAAATATTTAAAGTTTATTCTTACTTTGTTAATAACTCTGCAGACAGAGAGACTCTGTCAGGACTCCTGGGTTCTATCTCAGCTCTGGGAGGGGAGTGGGGTCAAGTGGGTTACAGTGGGGGGCAGATACATCTGGGTTCTATATCAAAACGGCCACAGTGGGTCAGAGCAATGGTCCATCTAGCCCAGTGTCCTGTCTTCCGACAGCGGCCAGTGCCAGGGGCCCCCGAGGGAATGAACAGAACAGGGAAACATCCAGTGATCCATCCCCCGTCGCCCATTCCCAGCTCCTGGCAAACAGAGGCTAGGGACACCATCCCTGCCCATCTTGGTTAATAACTATTGATGGACCTATCCTCCATGAACTTATCTAGTGCTTTTTTGAACCTAGTTATGGTCTTGGCCTTCACAACATCCTCTGGCAAGGAGTTCCACAGGTTGACTCTGCGTTGTGTGAAGAAATACTTCCTTTTGTTTGTTTTAAACCTGCTGCCTGTTAATTTCATTGGGTGACCCCTAGTGATTGCGTTATGAGGAGTAAATAACACTTCCTTATTCACTTTCTCCACACCAGGCATGAGATTATAGACCTCTGTCATACCCCCCCTTAGTCGTCTCTTTTCCAAGCTGAAAAGCCCCCGTTTTATTAATCTCTCCTCACACGGCAGCCGTTCCACAATCCCTAATCACTTTTGTTGCCTTTCTTGGTACCTTTTCCAGATCCCTATCGGCGCGGGGGGGGGGGCCCCCCGCGGGGGGGTGGGACACGGCCGGGAAGGACGGGGGGGGGGGGGGGGGGGGGGGAGGGGGGGCCCCCCCCGCAACCGGGGGCCCCCCGGGCCCCCGGGGGCGGCGGGGGGGGGGGGGGGGGCGGGGCGGCCCGCGGGGGGGCCGGCGGGCGGGCGGGGGGGGCGGCGGGCCCCGGAACGGGGGACCCGCCCACACGGGGGCCCCAACAAGGGGTGGGCCCGGAGACGCCGGGCCCCGGGAGGGGGGGGGCCGGCCCCGGGGCCCCACGCCCCCCGGGGGCCCCCCCGGGGGCCCCGCCGGGGGGGGGGGGGGGGCGGGCCGGCCCCGGGCCCCCCGGCTGGCCCCCGACGGTTGATTTGACGGCCACGGGGGGGGGGAAAGCGACCCCGGCCCCCCGCCGGCGGGGCCCCCGCGCGGGGCCGGGGGGGGGGGGGGGGGGGGGAGGGCGGGGGGGGGGGGGGGGGGGGGGGAGCCCGAGGGGGGGGGGCGGGGGCGCGCGGTGGCGGGGGGCCCCAGGGGCGGGGGACAAAGGGCCAACGGGCGGTAAAGGGAAGGGCTCTGGCGGGAGGCGGGGCTTCGCCGGGGTGGGGCGCGCCAGGGTCGTTCGCTAGGCCCGGTCAAAAGGGGGCCCAACCAAATCGGCGAGAAAACCCACCCGTTTGCCCCCGGGGTTTGGGGGCCAAGGGCGCAAAACTCCCCGCGCGGGCGCCACCCCGACCTAGGGGGGGAAGGAGGCGGGTACCCTACCAAGGAATGGGGAGGGGCCCGGGACGGGGTCAACCCCAGGCCAAGGCCCCGCGTCTCGAAGGGGGAGAGATGTGCGAAGGGGCGTTCATGTTTCCTCTGAAATGGGGGGGCCCGTTTCCCCTAGCAGTTCTTAAGTATCAGGTGGTGGGGTAAGGGTGTATGACCATTGAGAGTAGAGGGAGGGTGTGAGGAGTCTGGACAAAGAATGGCAACCCTGTTTTGGCAATAATGGCCTGGGCCTTCCCCCTGCAAGGTGAGAGTAAAGGGTTGGAGAAAAAGGAATAGTGAATGGTCGGGAAAGGAAAAAGCAGAGGAGGGGGGGTGGAGGGGTTTTTCAGTTTGGGGTGGTGGACATGGAGTGAAGTGCAGAGTGGTTGTCTGCTATGCCCCCAGAATGGACCCAGTGGGTCCGTTCTCTGACCTGCAATTGTTTTAGACCATGTTCTGTAGTCTAATAAATCTTCTGTTTTACTGGTTGAGATACTTGACTCGAAGTTGGGGTGCAGACCTCTGGCTTCCCCAGGAGCCGCCTGAGCGGATCGTGGGGAAGGAGGAGGGGCAAGGATGTGAATGTCTGAGGTCAGACCCAGGAAGGTGGAAGTGTGTGAGTGTGTGTCCTGAAGAAGGCTGCTCACAAAAGCGACTGCCCCAGAGTCTGACTGGCTTCATGGGGAGGTAGGAGCCCAGGACGACACCATATACGGTATCTTTTTGAGATGGGACGACCACATCTGGGCGCTGTACTCAAGGTGCGGGCGCACGATGGATTTATAGAGAGGCAACAGGATATTTTCCGTTTATTATCGATGCCTGTCCTAATGATCCCCAGGGTTCTGTTTGCTTTTTGGCTGCCGCTGCCCACTGAGTGGCTGTTTTCAGAGGACTCTCCCCAAGATCTCTTTCTCGAGTGGTAACAGCTAATTTTAGACCCCATCATTTTATACGTAGAGTTGGGATGATGTTTTCCAATGTGCATGACTTGGCATTTATCAGGTGTCCATGAGGCCCAGGGTTCTCCCCCCACCGTTGCAGAGGTGCGGCTGCGAAGCCTTTGCAGGCCCTAGATGAGGCTGCATTGCAAGCCGGTCTCCTAGCTGAGAGGGAGCCAAGCGAATCCTGGGGCTGGACATAGCTAGAGGGGTGTGCGTAGGGACCGAGAGAGTGGGATGGCAGGGTAGAGTGACAGAATGTGGGGGAGTGGGGGGATGGGTAGAGGGGGATGGGGATGGATGGATGGATGGTCATAGGCTTGGAAACTAGGGGTGTGGGGGGTGCTGCAGCACCCCCAGGTTTTGTGGGGAGTCCCAGCTGCTGGCCCCACGCCCAACGGCTCCACACCTGCCCCCAGCTGTGGCCCCAGCCTCGGCCCCCTTACCCTGTCTGTGTCCCCCCCTCCGGGAGCCTCAGTCCTGCTCCTGGCCCCAGCTCTAGAGGACGGTGAAGGGTGTGGACAGGGGTAAGGGGGGGTGCAGCTCAGCACCCCCACTCTAAAAACTGTTCCAGCACCACTGCAGATGGATGGATGGAGGGGGGATGTGGATGGATGGACGGATGGCTGGAGGGGGATGGATGGAGAGATATGGAGGGGAGGGAGGGTTGCAGGGGGAGGTCTGGCTGTCTGGAATGAGGAGGCATAGGGAGGGATGGAGGGGGATGGATGGAGGGCTGGCTAGCTGGGATGAGGAGGGATAGGGACGGATGGATGGAGGGGGAGGGCTGGCTGGGCTGAGGAGGGATAGGGAGAGATGGAGGGGGAGGGAGGGATGGAGGGGGGAGGGCTGGCGGGGATGAGGAGGGATAGGGAGAGATGGAGGGGGAGGGAGGGATGGAGGGGGGAGGGCTGGCGGGGATGAGGAGGGATAGGGAGGGATGGAGGGGGGAGGGCTGGCGGGGATGAGGAGGGTTAGGGAGGGATGGAGGGGGGAGGGCTGGCGGGGATGGAGGGGGAGGGAGGGATGGAGGGGGAGGGCTGGCGGGGATGAGGAGGGATAGGGAGGGATGGAGGGGGAGGGCTGGCGGGGATGAGGAGGGACAGGGAGAGATGGAGGGGGAGGGCTGGCGGGGATGGAGGGGGAGGGAGGGATGGAGGGGGAGGGATGGATGGAGGGGGAGGGCTGGCGGGGATGAGGAGGGGGAGGGAGGGATGGAGGGGGAGGGATGGATGGAGGGGGGAGGGCTGGCGGGGATGAGGAGGGTTAGGGAGGGATGGAGGGGGAGGGCTGGCGGGGATGAGGAGGGTTAGGGAGGGATGGAGGGGGAGGGCTGGCGGGGATGGAGGGGAGGGGAGGGATGGAGGGGGAGGGATGGATGGAGGGGGAGGGCTGGCGGGGATGAGG